AAAACCACTGTCGGCCACTTGAAAAAACGGTTGTCAGGCGCTGTGGCCTAGGTTTCTCACTGCGCAGGAATTCAAATCCTCGTCCCTCCTAGCAACTTTTTTTTGAAAATTTTTCGCTTTTAACGGCATTTTTCGGGGATTTCGGATTTTTTTTCGAATTTTTTCGCTATAATATTAGAAAAATAGACAATTGTTCAAACATTTTAATGCAATAAAAATTTTTGGTCGGAGTCCCCCTTTAATAATGGAGCAACTTTAATTTCTGTTCTAATTTTGATATTTTTTGGTTACAAACTGCATATCTCATATATTGTCGAGTTAAAAAAAGTGGGACCTGGAAAATTTCGCGGGCGGCTTCCCGGTCAACTTTCGAGACCGTGCCTCAAAATCACTACAGTAGTAAACGAAACTTATTTCTGCGAATTCAACGGTTTTTCCTGGACAAAATTTAGATTCCTTGGTATGAAAATGATCTCTAGCATCTCTAGAATCTGTTTTTCATCGAAAAACCGAACTTAACTGCGAAAGTAGCTCGAATGAGGCGAAAGTCTGAAATATTACGTTCTTGCCGCACTTTTTCGAATTATCTTAAGACCAAAAAAAGCTACGCCTTTCAAATTCTCAGGTCCCACTTTTTTAATTCGACAATAGTTTGGCAAAAAAGGATAGTCTGAAATTTTCAGATGAATAGAATTTCGGTAATTCGGATTTTCGGATTCTCGGATTTTCAGATTCTCAGATTTTCGGATTCTCGAATTCTGAGATTCTGAGATTCTGAGATTCTGAGATCCTGAAATTCTGAGATTCTGAGATTCCGAGATTCTGAGGTTCTGAAACTCTGAGATTCTAAGATTCGGAGATTCTGAAATTCTGAGATTCTGAGATTCTGTGATTCTGAGATTTTGAAATTCTGAAATTCTAAGATTCTGAGATTCTGAGATTCTGAGATTCTGAGATTCTGAGATTCTGAGATGCTGAGATTCTGAGATTCTAAGATTCTGAAATTCTGAGATCCTGAAATTCTGAGATTCTGAGATTCCGAGATTCTGAGGTTCTGAAACTCTGAGATTCTAAGATTCGGAGATTCTGAAATTCTGAGATTCTGAAATTCTGAGATTCTGAGATTCTGAGATGCTGAGATTCTGAGATTCTAAGATTCTGAAATTTTGAGATTCTGAGATTCTGAGATGCTGAGATTCTGAGATTCTAAGATTCTGTAATTCTGAGATGCTGAGATTCTGAGATTCTAAGATTCTGAAATTCTGAGATTCTGAGATTCTGAGATTCTGAGATTCTGAGATTTTGAGATTCTGAGATTCGGAGATTCTGAAATTCTGAGATTCTGAGATTCTGAGATTCTGAGATTCTGAGGTTCTGAAACTCTGAGATTCTGAGATTCTGAGATTCTGAAATTCTGAGATTCAGAGATTCTGAAATTCATAAATTCTGAAGTTCTGAAATTCTGAGATTCTGAGATTCTAAGATTCTGAGATTCTGAGATTCTGAGATTCTGAGATTCTGAGATTCTGAGATTCAGAAATTCTGAGATTCAGAGATTCTGTAATTCAGAAATTCAGAAATTCAGAAATTCTGAGATTCTGAGATTCTGAGATTTTGAAAATCTGAAGAATTCGGAAATTCTGAAATTCTGAGATTCCTAGATTCTTCTAAGATTTCTGATTCCAAGATTCTGAGATTCTCAGATTCTGAGTACCGAGATCCCGAGATTGGAAATTCAGAATATTCCAAAGTTCGAAATTTCCGAAATTTCCAAAATTCGGAATTACAATTTCAATTTTTTTGAAAAATTGGAACATTTCGAAATGTTGAACTTTCAAAATTCCGAAATTCCGAAAATTTCGAAAATTATTCAATCTGTCTGTATTCTGTTCATCCAGGTGTCTAAAAAAAGAAAATTTTATTCACTATCACTATCATAATTTTCAATAATTGGCAACGATTCGCTTCTTGGCCTCTTCCAAACTTCACACGACACTTCCGCTTTATCCGGTGTGTACCTCACTCTTAATTTCTTCGGATTCTGAATTCCATGAACATTTTCAAATCCGCCGAACAGTTTTACTCTGAAAAATGATAATTGTTCGTAATTTCTGATACCGTATTTGCTCTATTTTGAGCTCAATTATCTCAGTTTCTATGAAAGATATCAAAAAGATATCACCTTATAAAATATTTATCATATTATCACCAACATTTTATCAGTGTACATATTTCAGGTATCTTTTACAGGAACCAAGATAATTGAGCTCAAAGGGCATGTATAGTGCCTATCAGACTCACTCAAAAACGCTGGAAGACCATTCTGGAATCTCCAAACTTCTATATGACACATTTTCCGGTACCAGTTTTTTGAATTCAAAGTTCTCGGGTAGAGCTACGGTAATCTCTGTGCGGTCTTCCATTTGACCATTTTTCAGGAAATTCTGAAAAAAAAATTTGCTTAAAATTTAATTTTTGAATTACCTCCAAAACCCTTCGAATTCCGCTACCCTTGATCCCATCAGATTTCACATAAAAATCCGGGGCTTTCACCGAATCCAATTGCTCATCACTCATATTACAATCGACTCCGATTCTCAGACTTTTAGACGTGCCTAGAATCCTTCGATCGATTGGTAGAGGTGGTCCATGGGTTCTGGTGATTTCCAATTTTTCGAACTTCGAGGAAACACATTGGTCCAGCCATGTTATGTCATGACCACCGCGTAGTTCGTACATAGTGAGTTTGTCGCATTTGATTTTCCAATGGGCAGATGGCGGTTGGTCAAACTGCAAAAACGTGTTTGTCTTATTTATGTCGTTCCGGAACCGAACACTTTAGAACCGGCGTTCAAAAACGGTTCTACAACCGGTTCCAAAATGTCTAGTTGTAAAATTGTCAGTTGCAAAATGTAAAGTTCTAAAACGCGCGGTTCCTAAACGTCCATTTCTGACATCCCGAACATTAAAATTGCTAACTTAACTTTTCTGAAATGTCTGGTTACGAAATGACCGGTTCTGGAACGTCCTGGTTACAGAACAGACAGTTACAAATGTTTCCAAAATGAAGAGGAGCACAATGACCGGTTCTAGAGCGTCCGGTTACAAAATGCCTAGTTGAAAAATGACCAGTTGCGAAATGACCAGTTCTAGAACCTACGAACGTACATTGCGAAATAGTCAGTTGCGAATTGACTGGTTCTGGAGTGTGGTCAATTGATCAAGAACTAGTTCTAGAACGTCCGGTTACAAAACGCTCGGCTACAAAACGAAAAGTAACAAAAGATCCGGTTGTGTAAATGGCCGGTTCTAGAACATGTGGTTGCGATATGAACGGTTGCGAAATAACCGGTTCTAGAATGTACTGTTACAAAAGACCCGGTTAGTCAGTTGCAAAATGAACAATTCTAAAACGTCTGGTTAGGAAATGACAGGTTCTAGAACGTTCATTTAACAAGGGAACCACAACACGTTTGGATTTTAATGAGAATTTCAGTATATGTCAACGATAGCCTATCTAGACATCCCTGAAAATTTTAGAACACGCTCGCCAGTTTGAGCCAAGATATTTCAGTTTTAGTACCAAAAACCGCGTTTTTAGTGAAAAAAACCGCGATTTTCAAAGACGATTTTCTCCGCTTCCGGGAAATTCCAGGACATGAAATTTGTTGTGTTTTACTTAAAATTTAATGAAGCTTCATATTCCAGGCATTTTATAGAATTTTTTTTGTTGAAAAAATTTGAGAGTTTTGTCCACCACTTGGGTGGGTGATTTTATCGAACTTTTGTCAGTTTGGAAAATTTCTTTGAAAAAGTAGTGATTATGGTTTGCAAATATTATTATACAACTAATAGATAATCTATTTCTTGATTGCACGTGTTTCATTATTTATTCATAGTCCGTATAGGGCCGAAGACAACGCTTCAAAACAATTACCGCCCAGGGACTGCGGACTTCAAAAAATTTTTGAATTTTTTGAAAAAAAATTTTTCTAAAATTTGTCTCTAATCTTTTGAATCTGTAAAAACTTGATAAATATATCAGAACAATCCTAAAATGTCGCGAAATATGTGAACAAAAGAAGAAAAAAAGAAAAAAAACCACCAGCGGGTCCGAACCCGCAGCCTTGTGCCTACTGGCGCACACCACATCTCCAACACCACGCCGCCCACATGTTCCATTGAGTCGCAAAGCGGTTAAATGTTAGGCCGTTTTTAAACACCTCTATTATGGATTTCGGGGATGGATAGCGTGGTAAAGCATGTAAATCAAAGGATTTCAGCCCTGAAACTTTGCGTTGAAATATCTCGGCTGAAAGTGTATCAATATCTCGGCAAAATTTTCAGGGATGTCTAGATAGGCTATCCTTGACATATCCTGAAATTTTCATCAAATTCCAAACTGACGAGGTGTTGTGGTTCCCTTGTAAGAACTAACTAGTTCAAAAACACCCAGTTACAAAACATTCAGTTGCGAAACGTCACTCACCATCACAAAACTAACTTTCTCGGCATGAATAATTCCAAACCTCTGATGCCACCGATCCAAAAATCTCCGAATCACAATATATCGATTTTCTGATTTGATCTCACTGAACTCCTCAAGAACATTCCCATCCCATCCTCTATCCACCCGAGTTTGATTCTCTTTTCCAATAAACCAAATTGTGAAATTATCAATGTCTACACGAATTTGAGTCTGGAACTTTTTTTTCAATTTCAAGGAAAATTATCAATAGAGCACACTTGCCTTATTGCTATCCATATTACTGAAGACTTCTGAAATCGCAAAATTTTTCGCTTTAAAACTTGTGGCATCCACTAGATTATAATCCTTTTTTGAGCATAACCTCATGGAGCATCTGAAAATTTTGAAATTTGAATTTATTAAAAAAAATTAAAAATCCACCTGGATTCATAATCCAAAAATTCCAGAATTTCCTTCTTGACGTCATCTGGCACCGTTTTCCATGAAGGCATGTCTATAAAAATGTGAACTTCAAATAAAAAAGTGAAAATGCGAAAAAAAACGAAAAAAGTATGCTGAGCAACTGAAAAAGGAGAAAGAAAGAGGGAAAAGGAAAAAGCAAGAGACGCAGAGAGGAAAAGAAAGAAACGGAGGAAAAAAGAGTGTATATTTCGTAAGAGGCGCAGAAAAAGGGCAGGTGCAAAATAAGGAGAAAAATCGAATTTCGAACAGCACCACGAAATGATGTCAAATGAAAAAAACACATATGAAAAAATCGTAAATTTTCAAAAAATCTTAAATTTTCAAAAAATCTTAAATTTTCAAAAAATCTTAAATTTTCAAAAAATCTTAAATTTTCAAAAAATTTGGAAAAATTTGGGAAAAATTAAACCTGAAATTAGATTATTGAGAAGGAAGGAAAATTGAAATCAGAATCTCAGAATTTCAGAATCTCAGAATTTCAGAATCTCCGAATCTTAGAATCTCAGAGTTTCAGAACCTCAGAATCTCGGAATCTCAGAATCTCAGAATTTCAGGATCTCAGAATTTCAGAATCTTAGAATCTCAGAATCTCAGCATCTCAGAATCTCAGAATCTCAGAATCTCAGAATCTCAGAATCTCAGAATCTTAGAATTTCAGAATTTCAAAATCTCAGAATCACAGAATCTCAGAATCTCAGAATATCAGAATCTCAGAATCTCAGAATCTCAGAATCTCAGAATCTCAGAATCTCAGAATATCAGAATCTCAGAATCTCAGAATCTCAGAATCTCAGAATCTCAGAATCTCAGAATCTCAGAATCTCAGAATCTCAGAATCTCAGAATCTCAGAATCTCAGAATTTCAGAATCTCAGAATCTCAGAATCTCAGAATCTCAGAATCTCAGAATCTCAGAATCTCAGAATCTCAGAATCTCAGAACCTCAAACGTTAAGCTAAAAAATCCAAAACTTAGAAAAATTTCAATGTTTGCCATTTTCTAGAATTTCGTTCAAACATAAAATTAACGGCCACAATTTCAGTGAAAGATTGTGTGAGTAGAATTATTTATTTTTTCTCAAAACATCATTTCACTTTCAAATATTTCTAAATGTATTATTTAGAAGGTTCAGATCTTCCGTTTCTCGGCCCGGGGGAACCTCTTATATGTAGAACACAATACGAGCCTGATAAAGAATGTCCAATTACTTTGAATTATTTTTCGCTCCCGATTCTAGGTCAAAATTTGATTTGCTTCGCGAATTTCGTTTTTCAAATTTTGGCAATTTGGACGGTCTACACAAGGAAAAAGTTTCAACTGGTAAAGTTTTCAGAATTTCAGAATTTTGGAATCTTCTTTCCAGGGTTCATTCTTTCGCCTTCTTATCATTCTTGCACTATCTGTTCTTCTTCGCACTCTCACATGCATCGTAACTTTTATTCTTGCTGCTTTAACAAATTCCACCACTTTACTCTATTCTATCTCAACAACCATCTCATTATATATGGATAACATCAGTGCCAACTTTTCAATGGTCCTTATCTTTTTCATAGCTCTCAATAGGTGCCTAGTCATTGTAAAGAGTCAATGGAGTGATGCGATTTTCGAAGGGAAACGAATCATTGTTCCTGTTATCATCAGTCAAGTTGTATCAATTTTGGGAGCTTATTATTCTATTCAAACTTCAAAAATCAAAAGGAAGTATCAGTTCGACATGGGGTTTCTTGATATCGGAGAGCCCAATGGGTTTAGAAGAGTGAGTAAATTTTCAAAAATTATGTTAATCTTGATTTTCTGCTAATCACTCGTCTCTTCTATATGTTTCCATTAGCATCTGCAATTTGTTACCTTATTATTTTTTGCTATCTGAAGAAGAACAAGAACAACCTTTTGGGTAATAACAAAACCAATAACCAAGGACAGCAAAATGTATTCATTCAAATTTTGATCACCGTGCTTTTCTATGGGGTATTTCAAAGGTTCTGGAACCTCAAAAGTTGTCTTCAACATTTTCAGATAATGTCTGCGGTCTCAGAAACCTTAGGATTTTTGGATCAAGCAAGCTATGATATCCAAGCTTCCCTCATTTCTATTTTCAATCTTCTGAACTATCTGCCAGAATTATCACTACCATTTTTATTGGTTGTAAATAGCTGCAAACCTAAAAACAAGATTTCCGTTGCTGTGGCGCCAAACCAAAGCAACAGTATAACCAGGAGATCAGGTAGAATCTCCATCAAATGAGTGGTCGTTATTCTTTGTTGATAATTGTGTAATTTTTGTATAAAGAAAGTTTTTGAGTTTTAAATGTTCATATGATTTCCTACACCGGATCAAAATCTTCCGAATCGCTTGTTGTTATTTTTCAAAAACTAAATATCTGTCAGATGTTACTACAAGAACTAGAAAACTCAACAAGAATTTACTAGAGCATTTCAAAAATGCCAATGCTTGTCATTTGCTAAAATTTTACATAAACATAAAATTAACGCCCACATCTTCATTGGAAGTGTTTGTTAGAAGCACCGTCATAATTAAGCATTATTACTCGATTTTTTTTCAATTTAAACTGTTACAAAATGTATTATTCTGAAAATTCGTTTCTTTTTCCGCAGTTTCCTAACACTGAAGCGGTTGATTGTGGAACGATACTTGAACCTAAAGAATGTGAAACCACTTTCGAATCTAATCTGAACTATTTTTCACTCCCAATTGTAGGTCAAAATTTGATTTGTTTAGTGAATTTTGTTTTCCAAATTTTGGCAATATGGATGGTTTATACAAAGAAGAAGTTCCAACAGGTGAGGGCTTCAGACTCTTGGAATTTCTTGAGTTAACACAAGGAAAAAGTCCCAAAAAGTGACGGTTTCCGAATTTCAGAATATCAAAAATCCATTTCCAGGGCTCCTTCTTTTACCATCATTCTTGCACTATTTGTCCTTCTTCGTACTTTCACATCCATCATAACATCGGTTTTAGCTGTTTTCACTGATTCCAAAACTTCTATCTATTCAATCTTAACAACTACATCATTATATGTGGACGCGATCAGTGTCAATTTTTCGATGGTCCTTATCTTTTTCATAGCTCTTAACAGATGTCTAGTCATTGTGAAAACTTCATGGAGTGAAGCGATTTTTGAAGGAAAACGAGTCATTGTTCCAGTTGTTATAAGTCTAGTTTTATCAATTTTGGGAGCTTATTTGTCTATGCAAACTTCAAAAATCACAAGAAGATATCAGTTTGCTATCGGTTTCATTGATTTCGGAGAGCCCAATGGGTTAAGAACAGTGAGTCAATTGTTTTGAATTACGTTAGACCTGGAACAGAATCGCCGGCTTTTCATTTGTTTCTAGACACTTTTGATTATGAATACACTACAATAAAATACAAAATCGATTTTCAGTTAATCACCCGTCTCTTTTATATATTTCCAATGACATCTGCAATTTGTTACCTGATAATTTTTTACCATCTAAAGAATGCAAAGAAATCACTTCTGAATCATAGCCAATCAAACCACCAAGGACAGCAAAATGTCTTCATTCAAATTTTGATGACCGTTTTTTTCTATGGGTTATTTCAAAAAGTTCTGGAACCTCAAAAGTTGTCTTCAACATTTTCAGATAATGTCCGCCATATCAGAACACTTGAGGTATCTGGACCAAGCGGGTTTTGACATCCAACTTACCCTCATTTCAATATTCAACTTACTCAACTATTTGCCAGAACTATGCTTACAATTTTTATTGGTTCTAAATAATTGGAGACCTAAAAATAAAGTGTTCGTTGGCATACCCAGGGTATCAGATAGGGTGTCAATTACATGAGTTATTTTAATTGGATGATTTTTTGTAAATAAAGTTTTGACTAGAATCTTGCAGACCACGTGCTGATCTTTAAAAATGAATATCTTTACAAA